TAAAAATATACCCGGAATCCTTTCCGTGTACCTTGTGTAACTACATGAACCCATAGCCACGGGATGTTGAGTCATGTTTCATCGAAGGGCGATGGAAACATCACAGCGCGCATCCAAAGTTGCAGTGTGGTATCACACAAATTGGACATTGGCAGCGCAAATGTGGGCCGCGGAAAAAGAAAACACGAGCCGCCAAAGGAGGCAGGCCCAGCTGTGCGCACGCACGCACAGCTCATTGTGTGGCGTCGCACTCTGGATAACTGACAAACCGCTGTCAGACCTCAAACGCTTGGCAATTGGAAAAATGGCGGCACAGACGAGGAAGCGGGGTGTCATCTCGTCCGTATACTGGCCCCCGTTCATGATGCAAACCTTTCTTGTTGATCTGAATAATTGTTCGACATTGACCGCGCAGCTCAAATGCAAAACGCGTGTTGGGCAACCTTTCGCCTCACGAAACACCGCCAAACAAAAATGTCCAAACATGTATATATACTGAAATAATGATGATCTCATCGCCGTGTGCTCACGCATTTGTTGAAACTTTTCGCCATCTCCGCCCTAAATCATTCCAGGAAGACGTTTGACATCTTTTCCAGCCGGCGGAATTGTGCATGCTGGACAACAGGTCAGGCTAGCTAAGCATGAAATGTGCCGCTAAGCAAACAGCGCTTATCGCTGGCCAGGGATGAGGATCTGCAATAGCCCAGCTTTAGGTACACATGCACTGAATCACTCTGAGCCGCAAGCGAGGCAGGCAGACGGACATCTTTAAAGCTCGACTTAAGAAGACGCTTTTCCTCAGCCGACACTCGCAGAATGAAAGAAGCTTTAAGGAACTTCCCTTTTTTCTTTTTGGGCCCCTTGAATAAGTGCAAACAGTTATCCTCGGAATCTGGTCTCTTTTTTCTTTTGCGGATGCAGTTTGTCATGGTCAGCGTTGTGTCATTGAGTGTGCGACCAAGCCAACGGATCAAAGGGCCCTGGCCCATCCGCTTGTCTGCCCAGTTGTGAGCATGGAAAGATTGAACATTCTTTCAGTCACGACTATTTCAAAGGGCCCTGGCCCATCCGCTTGTCTGCCCAGCTGTGAAGCCTCTTGGAGCCATGGAAAGATTCAACATTCTTTCAGTCGCGACTATTGTTGATGTGATCTAGCGCTCAAGATCTTTGGCGTCAGAAGTTGGACGGTTAGCCGTGAAGCCAACGATGCCATTTTGACAACCAACTGGCACGCGTGGCACCACAAAAGCGAGGAGACGTAGCGTGACGGATCATGCGTTCACCGTGCCAAAGTGCCGCCCTTTGGTGTCAGAAGTCGGATAGTTAGCCTTGAGGCGCACCCGGTTGAATGGCCCCTTGAGAGAGGTATCATTTGTAATCCAAGTACTCGGGGGGCTTGAAATGGGCCCGCTGCCGTTATGTACGAGGTCTCGCTTGCTGTAGTGTCAGTGGGACGCTTTGCCAAGAGGTCATCTTTTCGGGGCGCAGTCAGATGGACCTTTGGTACACAAGTGACACCTCTTGAGACGCTAGCATATAGGGGCTCGACTGGTGTGTACTTGATCTCCCTAAAATATTGTTGGGTGTCAGAAGCAGGATGGTCAGCCACGCGGTCGTCTGCTGGAGTGACCAATCGGAAAGAACCGAGAATCAAGCCAACCGCGGTGTTTTTTTATCAACCAAAAAGACGCCAGTTCGGATGGCGTTTGACAGGCCCTTTTGTGCAGATCAGCCAAGAGACATGGCAACCAACCAGGAAGCACAGAAGTGATGGATCCCTCGTTCTTCAGGTGATTCTGGTGCGCGGCTGCGGCGACGTGATCACCGCCGACCATTCCGTCTTGTGCTGGGAAAGTGTTTGAAACCAGCTCTGATCCAGTTGAAAGGTCAAAAGTGAGATTAGTTTCTCGTGTGTCTCCCTAAGCGCGGCGTGGAAGATAACACGTTCCGAGTCCAACAAGCGGATAGGAAAGAAAGAGTACTTCAGGAAGATGAAGAAGCTCAGAGAACGTGTCAACATTTACAAACCAACCGCTGGTGTCGTGTTGCATTATGCATGTGCCAATGCCCACTGTTCCCTATTAGAGACACTCTCTTCTTTTTTTTTTTTCTTCCCCGCCACGCTAAAATGTATCTTTCAACACGGCTCCAGGCCGCCTTTTCACAAACAACAGGCTCAGTGTGCGAGCGCCGTCTGTCGCGAGGCACTGCCATTAGCCCTGCGGCGTCTTCATCTCAGCGCCGGCATCTTTTCATCCCCCTCGTCCCCCTTTTTTGCCTTTTTTTTTTTAAAAGAGGAGATGCCGTTTGATTTCAGCACCGCGGGCAGCTGCCGGGACTTTATTACGCCCGTTCTCGCCTCAGCGTCTGGCGTGTCTTTGCTCACTAACCCCTGGCCTCACCGCCCCGACGCAGCGTACCAGTCTGATGCTATTTCAAGCTCCGTGACCCCCATTCAGAGGGCTTCAAAAAGAGGTTTCATCCCCTGATAAGAGACAAAATGAGAATTCAGGTGGGCACAATGGCTTCCTGTGTTCCTTTTAGAATGACTTTTTCTTAATCTGACAGGGCGAAAACGATTTTGGTGTGTATATGTGGCTGTGTGTTACTCCGCAATAAGTCATATCATGCGATGAGAGGACGCACACAATACAAGCATTAGCTTTAGCTTTAGAAAAAACAACTATAATGAATTTTATGGAGCAAAGCATGAGAAGTTAACTCCTCAGCTTCTCTCTTTAGTCGCTGAACCTCCTTGTTAAACAGCACAAACTAGAGATGGACTCAAATGCACCACTTAAGTCAGAAGAAAATTGCGGCGAGAAGGTATTGTCGCGGTCGACATCCTTACCCATTGTTCCTTCTTGTCGAACATCACGAACAGATGCACTCAAATGCACCGCGCTGGTTACGGTGGGGAAACTAGCATGAGAAGACAACAAGTACGAGACATAAACTAGCGCAAGAAGCGAGCAATTGAACTCCGATGGAAACAATGTCAACACCTGCCATATTTCAATTGGTATCAGCATGTTTTTTGGTTGTCATTTTCTTGAACACTTGACGTGGTCATCGCCATTATGGCACTTGGAGTTGGCGCTCCATCTTTGAAGAAGCACTTTGTTCAGAAAATTCCCATTTCTTGGTTTGCCTGTACGGATGTACATAATTCCATTTCAGAGAACTTCTTTCTTTAAAACGGTCTGGCGCAAGTCTTTCTTGTGGTTGCGCTCGGAAAAATCCGTCTTCGCAAAATGGCCTCAGGGAACATTAGGCGGCAGCGGGCTTTGCTGTCAATTTTGATTCAGAAATGACATCATTTAAATATCTTGAACACTTGACGTGGTCATCGCCATTATGGCATTTGGAGTTGGCGCTCCATCTTTGAAGGGGCACTTTGTTCAGAAAATTCCCATTTCTTGGTTTGCCTGTACGGATGTACATAATTCCATTTCAGAGAACTTCTTTCTTTAAAACGGTCTGGCGCAAGTCTTTCTTGTGGTTGCGCTCGGAAAAATCCGTCTTCGCAAAATGGCCTCAGGGAACATTAGGCGGCAGCGGGCTTTGCTGTCAATTTTGATTCAGAAATGACATCATTTAAATAAATGTATTTTTTTTTTGCTTTTCAAAGGAGAGACACGGAGGAATTCTTCCTATTCTTCATCCTAGTGTAAAAGAAGCAGGGTGGAAGTCCCGCATGCGACTCTACGGTGGTGGGATTTTAACATAAAACGGTCTGGCGCAAGTCTTTCTTGTGGTTGCGCTTGGAAAAATCCGTCTTCGCAAAATGGCCTCGGGGAACGTTAGGCGGCAGCAGGCTTTGCTGTCAATTTTGATTCAGAAATGACATCATTTAAATAAATGTCTTTTTTTTTTTCTTTCCAAAGGAGAGACATCCTAGTGTAAAAGAAGTGGGGTGGAAGTCCCTCCCGCATGTGACTCTACAGTGGTGGGATTCTAACACATGCATGCCATGACTTCCTCCTGTTTCCTTCCACAGAGGGATTTCTCCACTATTGCTGCCAAATATAACCTTCCTCCACGAGCTTTAACAAAGTGGGTCACGAGAGCAGCAAGTCATTAGCTCATTGCAAAACATGCTAACGTTCATGGCAGAAAAATTCCAAAGGAAAGTGAACATTCGGGGCGGGATTGACCTTTTCTCTCAGTTGGAACTGGTGAGGTGATGGAGAATGTGACAACAAATGTGATTCTCATCTTAGTAATTCATTTTAGGAATACTTGAGGATTTAAAAAGCAGCCAGAGGGACATTCTCTCTGCTCGTCATTGCTGCTAACCTAGCAATAGAAAGTAATATGACAGTGAATAGGAAACGATGACTGTTTGAGCTACTCTGCTAAGCTCCTACCTCCTGGGTTTTTTTTCTCCTTAATAGGTCTCTCAGTTGGAACTGGTGCTGTCCAAATGTTTATTAGTGAAGGCACTTTGATTTTGATCTAATATGGCTCGGGTGGTCCAATTCAGTCCAGCCTTGGGCTGATTTTATTTGAGTAAATTTATACTTCCTGTTCTCCAGTCAGCTTGATAATACTCTGTCGGAACTGATACTGTCCAACTTGTTGAGAACAAAGGACTTGCATTTTTATCATCCGGTGAATGGTGCGGTGTCCGATATTTTATATTTTCCAACTGCGTTGGCCGCAGCACTAGCGCGGACCTCACAGATGAGCTTGGCGATATGTGATGACAGACCCAAAAAAAATACCGCGATAATCATCGAGCGGTCATGATGAGAAGGTGCGAGATCGCGTTGCACAGATAGCGCTCCCTCTATCGGTCCTGCCGCTTTTATCTCCCGGCCGTCGTCAGCCGGAGCAAGGCTATAGGTTTGCTTCCAATCCGATCACGGCGGTCGTGACTCATTTTAAGCGCCGGGTGCCCCCCCGCGTGTCGCCACGCCTCGCGGCTTCGACATAAATTCAGCGGGAAAGTGAGAGATGAGGCTGATTGAAATCGTGATGTATTCTCTTTACAGGAGGTCGGAGCGGTCACGGGCCCACCCACGACGCGGCCAAACAGCAGCTCGGCATTCCGAAAAGGCAGTTCATTAAAGGTATGAGTCATATGTAAATGACGGGGGCTGATGGCGGAACATAAAAAAGGAGAGAGTCATCATTTATAAGCTAATATCCACCTACCTCGCTTGATGTACGCCATACTTCTTCATCTTTGATAGTCGGTCTAAGCTTGCCGTTGCGATTGCTTCGCCATTTACCCTTCCCCGTGATTCCCGTTCCTCCTTCTGTTCTACGGCTTTTGATCACAAGTGACACCGCGCGGCAGCTAGTTAGCTTGGAGCTAACGCGAGAAGCTCGTGTGGCCGTTGTAGTCAATGCTCTTCTCGAACATCACCAACAGATGGCCTCAAATGACCACGACACTCACAGAAGATTGAAATTCAAGTCATTTGCTCACATAAAGTTGCTCTAATGGAGCCAAAGAGAGAATGGGAATACTCTACAACAAAAAGAATAGGCACCTGCCGAAATCAAAACGGCATCGGCACAAACAGGGCCCGGGTGTTCAATTCTCGGGCATTTTAACCACTGGTTAAAGTTAAACCCTCACAGCTAGTTCACTTCTTAAGCCGCTGTTAACTCAGGGACTGTTAAATATGCGTTGTTAGTTAATGTCAGCATCAAAGTTAACCATGTGCTCAACGTCACTGGTTAGTATCAGCGTATCTCACAAAAATGGAGACCGGTGTCCAATATAGAAGAGCCAAATACACGTCCATCAAAATTGTCCCGGTGTAACCCTCCTGCGTAAACCCTGGCGACAAAAGACAAATGTCCATCGGCAAATAATGCGACTGACAATTCGCCAAACGATTAGTAACTGTATGAGCACAACATTGCTTGTCAAATAAAAAAAAAAACAATCCAATAACGCTTCGTTTACTACCATGCTAGCAACAGTTAGCAGGCTAGCTGAGATATCTAGTGTGTGGCAAAACAGGAAGTAGAAACTTGCCAAAATATAACCGGTCGTAGCGCAAACACACTGGCAGAAATGCTCTAGTAAAAATAGTTGACAAAAAGTTGTTTGATTTTGGCTGCGGCTTCAAAGGCGTTCTCTTACTTGTAATGGCGCAGTTTTGCACATTAGCGCTCAAGAGTCCTGTCAGCGTTTATGTGGTAAACAGAGCAACGGCATTGGCTTCTTCTATTCCCACAATAGCCGGCAGCAGCGTGTCGTCCCTGCCGCATTAGCCGCTGTTTACTGTGCAAAGGGGGAGATTAGGATCCGCCGGGAGCGACGCGGGCCGGCGAGGGCGTCTATTCATTAAGCCCTTAATTGCTAATTGAGTGTCGGAATGTTTCCACCATGCATTAGCCGAGTACTTTGCGCTTTTAGCAAGGGAACGGGTAACAAATGTATGATGGAAAGACAGTCTTATTGGAAGGGCGATGGTTTTGTTGTTAACATTATGGAAGGTATAATTAAACCCAGATTTGAAAAGATACAGGAAGTGTGCCATTTCCATTAGAAGGCCTATTTTAGGTTCATTCTTCCTACAAAATACAAAAAAATATATATATATTATTTATTCAGTCCCTGGAGCCTTTTTCACTGGCAATATCAAAACAGACCCGCAAAAATTCTCAAGAGCGTGCGCATGAAAGCACACAGAAAATCTGCCATTTTGGTTTGAAGAGACCAATTGTTTTGTCCTTTTCTAGGGCCCCTAAAATCGCAAATTTGTCCTTTAGATTGCATTTAAAACAATCTAAATCTTTTTGTGGGCTTTCTACTGCCCGCATGGCATCAGAGATGGATGATCATTTCAGTTCGAAGATTGGCCATGGAAAAGCGGGTGAAAAATATTCATTCCACCAGTCGACACAAAATTAGGTGGACATGTCTATCATAACAGGACACGTGGAAAAAGTCTCATGTCCATGCGTGAAATTGAAAAGGAAGTTGGCCATTTGCGTTTGAGGCGGTCATTTTGGTTGAATTCCAAAGCTCTGACCAGGGAATTCACCCAAATGGAGACAGACAGGCGATGCTCAAGCATGGCGTCAAAGTCGGACCATTTCCAGTATTTGCCGTCAAAAAGTGAGTCGAAAAAAACTATCCCCCATTAGACAAGTTTGGCCAGTTGACAAGAAATTGGGCAGACATGTCAATCTTCAAAAGATACGTGAAAAGGGACTCTGAAACTGGACAGTCAGCCAGCATTTGGATTTGACGTGGCCATTTGTAGCAATTATTTTTGATGGATTCTTACTCAGGAATTTGGCTAAGCGGGCCTCAATCGGAATCGGGTCTCCTAGACAGATGGCCACGCTAAAGTTGTTGGGCTTTTTCCCCCCCTCCCGAGGCCATCAAATGTGTGTGGAGCATGTCGTCAAAGTTTGAGACTCATTTAGAGAATTCATCACCGCTTCCAGCTTTAATTCAGGCTGCAGGTTCCCCACCCTTGCTTTGATCCATTATGCTCAATGATTACATTTCATTTAGCGCTAATGTAGCTTAACTCCCTAATCCATTGTTAAATTTTGACTTAATTGCGTGTTGATCAGTTTCACTCTCTTGCCTTTGTGCGTCAGGTCATGAATTATAGGATACGCAGGCACGAAGGACCAGCACTTTTAATCACTGTCCTCAGCTTTCATGTCATTTGCCGCAGCGGTTCTTTCTCTTTTTTTTTTTTTTTAAATACCTCCTCGCATTTTATGACACGTCAGTGCATAAAAGCGGAGTGAGCGGACTTGTGCCGTGCCATAGCTTTTAAATTAAGACAGTAAAAAAAAAAAAAAAAAAATGTAATTAGATTTGAGTCCACACTTAGTCCCTAATGCGTTTGGCTGTCATTCAAAGTAATTAAAAAAAAGATGATTATAGCCACGTATCCGCAGTCTCTGGCGCTTTAATTCCGTACCGTCGCCTGTCACTGCGGTTTGATGATAGCACAAGTGACATGTTTAATGTGTCACAGCGGACAGCTCGTAAAGACGTGGGCAAATGAAACACAATCTTATTTCACGCTAATGATGACAACGCAGGTGAGACTCTTTGCTTTGACGCGTCATTAAATACGCCATATGTCGCAAGATGACCCTCAAATAACAATCTTTGTGGCCGTATTAAGTGAGGAATCAGTTCTGGTGCTGCCACATTAGATGGCCTTTGTTCGTGGTCAACGATAGGGGTCTTAAAACGGTGGACGATTTCATCTCACAGGACAAGTTACGAGAATACGTTTGTAATTCTGCATGATCATTATTATTTTTTTATCAATGACAGGGGTCTTAAAAAGGTGGACGATTGGTTTTTGGTTGTTTCACGTCATCGTAAAGAATGAAAGATTTGTGGTTAATATCAAATGCGTTGTCATGAGGCATCAATGAGTGTACCTAATGAGGTGGCCGGTGAGTGTAGCTCGCATGAATATAGTTTATAAGCTGGTGGAAAATAGCCCCCCCCCCCCCAAAAAAAAAGTTTTGAAGACTCGTTGGATGTTTCTAAGTGTCTCATGAGCCCACCCGGCAAAAACACAGAACCAAGATCATATCTTTTGAATCCTTACCGTCGGGCTTGTGGGGAAACTGAGCAGAAGTTGAAACGGAAAACTAAGCGTGTTAAAAAGAGCCGACATTTCTGACCCGGACGGTGAGCTTTACGTTTGTCAGGTGATTGTTATTTGGAATCCTCTTTAATTTGATGCCAAAGTGCCATTTGGGCCAATGTTTCAGAGCGAGCGGAGCCCGTTTAGAACAGATGGAATTTGCAATGAATAAAGCAGTATACTTGTCAGATGATGAAAGAGAAAATAACACTCAGCTCTGCCTCGGGCTCTTGATGCTGCTCCTGCTGCGCTTGGCGGTGGTCGAGAACAGGCATGGAGGATGGAGATGGAATGTTTTGGGTCGGGGTGAGAAGATTGGGAAGCTACAGGGAGATAGACCAGCCACGGCCACAGCCACAGGAAGGACAGATACACCAACAGGAAGTGAACATGGCAAGAAAATACGGAGTTTCCTCGCTGACCCACTCTCTTTGCCACATTTTCTTTGAAAACTTGTTTGTACCTTTAGGAATTGTGAGGAAAAATGGTGGCTAGGTGGGGTTGGACAGACAAATCAAATTCTGCCGTTGGCGGTTTACCTGCTAGCATGCTAGCGTGAACAAGTGAACACTTCTTTCTGGTATGACCTTAGAATTGATAAAAATGGGAATATTGTAAGATAACATGATACAAAGTAAGTATATTTCCCCCCCAGGCGTGTAAAACAACTTTATATTAGCTCCCTGCCATGTTGGAAAAAAAAAAAATCAAAGGATAATAAGGTGGACAAACTATTTAATCAGCACACAAACACTCAAAGCAAATCTTAGCGGTTTGGTCACTTCACCAGAATTTGACACAATGAGGAGCGAGTGCACTACGTTTTCTACAACATGTGAAATAAACGAACGCTTTCACGAGAGGGAAGTCGGCCAGGGTGACCGCGCAAGAAAGTCGTGAAGACCTCGTTTGCGTGTTTTTCATTTGATTTTATGTGTGGGTCTGCCCCATATAAAGTCAGCTCTGATTTACGTAACGCGATCCCGCGCTGCACTTTGACCGATGCCTTCGCAGGAGCACATTGGCACGCTGCGCTTGAACGTAATAATGCCGTAATCATGACGGATGGATTGAAGGTGGATTGCTGGGAGGAGGGAATAGATGGATGTATCGCTGGATAGCAAATATATGACGTGGATGGATGGATGATGTTCCAGCGAGGACTTGTTCGCTCGCCTATGATGCCTTGCTCTCCAATCATGGCTGATGTCCATATTACGTTCAGATTGTTCTTCTGAGCCGAACTTGCCAAGTTTGTTCTTTGAAAAAAAAAAAAAGATTTATTTCATAAGAAATTACAACCACAAAGGCATGACTAATTCTAATTAGCATTCGTACAACATGGCCGAGTGAACATGGACATTTTTTCACACTTTCTTCTTTTGGCTGCTAATTAACGAGCAGAGGCCTTCTCCGTCACCCCTTTTGTGCTCAGCGCGGGCTTCAATTCAGCGGCTCCCGGCTTTGTCCAATTAAGTCTGCTTAAATGTGCTCATGCTTGCATAATCAACCGTCTAATGACCTCGGCACTCGCAACTGCGGGCTTTGTCGGACTTTCTGCTCTCGCAAACTTTTGGGTTAATCAACTCCACAAAAGCCGCAGTTGTCCTCCATTGTGTGTGTGTGCGTTTTGAATGTAAGAAAGCGTGCTATCCTGAAGGGAAATCTACTGTAGAGAATATTGCCAGGTTGAAAGAGAATCTGTTCATTCGGCATGCTCCACTGGGAAATATCTTCTTCATACCTATCGCTATCTCGTCATTCCATCCTTCTACCGTTCTTATGTTTCAATCCAGAGTCCTCTCCGGTGTTTGCGGGGATAAATAAATCATTGGCAGGTTGCGCTGACTTGCATTTCTTTGGGGAAGCACAGAGGGGAAACGTTTGCACATCCACATTAGCCTTCCTTTGTGTTGTCACTGTCACGTTGCGAATGAGAAGTTACTTACCTTTGAGTGGCTTCTATTTGCAACTACCGTATTTTCCGCGCGATAAGGCGCACCCACAAAGCATTCCATTTTCTCCAAAGCCGACAGTGCGCCTTATAATCCGATGCGCCTTGTATATGGATCGGTATTCCAATTTGTTCAACGTAGTATTTTAAATGTTCGGGAAAGCGCTTTGTTACAGCTGCAGCGGTTGTGAAAGCTCGATATAAATAAAGCCGGATTGTATTGTATTGCCTTTAGTGTAGCTCCATCTAGTGGATGCATAGCGCGACCGCAGCCACTATTGTCTCTTCTGTTCCACGCGCCTTATAATGCGGCGCGTCCTATGTATGAAAACAGTTTTTGAAATAGGCCATTCACTGAAGGTGCGCCTTATGCTCCGAAGCGCGGAAAATACGGTACTTACGTCAAGTGCTGAATGAATAATTGGATGGACAAATGAGTTGATGGATAGGTTAGGTGTGGATGTTCTGTATCGCATGAATAATTGTTGTCTTTGGTGTGTTTGGATAGATGGACGAGTACTTGAAATGGCTTGTCGTCGTTTTGCATTGATGCTTGTTTACATGTGTTGATTGATGTCTATCGCCATGATGGTTCTTTGCCGGCAATTGCAACGCAAAGTGTGTTCACGCCCGTACGCCCTTCGCCGTCAATGTGAATGATTCTCGAATGCGGGTATCAACTCTGCGAGCCCCTCGAAACTACTTCTTCCGTCTTGTTACAATCAGACCTGCGGATCCCCTCGGCGGCATGCGGCATGATGGGAACAAACGCTTGGTGCCTCGGGGAGGCTGTAAACACGCCATGAAGCAGTGTTAACACGTCGAAAGCATTACCTGCCGCCGGGCTCGCTCAGTGCAGATGATTTGTCTGACTGACATGCACCTCCAGGAAAACAGTGTCCCCATACTTCTCTTTTTGAATTTTCTTTTTTTTTTAACCAAGGCAGTTCACACTTCATGCCGGAAGCGTAAGTGATAGGGCGCGACAATGTCGAGTGTAAAAAAGTGCTCTTTGTGTGAGGCCGAGTACTACTAAATGTTTGTAGATGTGTTTGGTTTGCGGAATCTATCCTCCGTTATTTGCCAACGGTCACCTATTGACTGTTTTGAGCTCTTTTGGACACGCCCTACTATGCCGTGGGATGGCCATTTATGACATCCATTTGCGCTCTGTTGTTAACCAAAACAGCCGCGCATTCTGAAGCATGGAAACCATCCCGCAGATTAATGAACGTGTGCAGACTGAGTTAATTGTGGCGCATTCAAAATGATCTCAGATTATGTGGCGCTAAATTGCATTTCGATGCATAGACCTGTTTTACTAATTGCTGTTTGCGCCACACGTTTGGTAGGATCTCGTGAAGGTTGTCCTAGTGAATGCTTAAAAGCCCGCCAGTCAAAGCGTTTAGTAAGTTAACAACTCTAACTGAAGCCGATAATTCACAGCTATAACGGCATCCCTTTGTGTTTACCCAGCAGCCCCCGCGGCAGGTCTAGGATGACCGGCAAGAGCCAGACCAGCAACGTGACCAACAAGAATGACCCGCGCTCGCTCAACTCCCGCGTCTTCATCGGCAACCTCAACACGGCGGTGGTGAGCAAGGCCGACATCGAAGCCATCTTCGCCAAGTACGGCAAGATCGTCGGATGCTCCGTGCACAAGGGCTTCGCCTTCGTCCAGTATGCCAGCGAGAGGAACGCCCGAGCAGCCGTGGCGGGCGAGAACAACAGGGTCATTGCGGGACAGTCGTTGGGTAACGTTGATCTCATTTTGCATCATTCACGAAAAGCACCCTTCAATCAAAACACCTTCATTCCCACTGACGGCTAGAGAAGTCCAACGCGCTTTTGCCCCATTTCGATTAAAGGGACAAAATACGCGAACATAATCGTTTTTACACGCGGAAAATTGTATTATTGTTTAAAAAAGAAAAAAAAACCTATTGTGACACCATTTATAACTAGAAGAAATCCTTAACATGTCCCTTTGACTGACTGATGTCATTGAAAACCATGCAGTTCCATTCGAGTCCTATAGATGGCAGTAGTGTGCGCGATAAAGTGAGTGTCAATTGAAAACAATCCCTTCATCTGAAACGGTATCCAGATTGTGTCCGAAATCGGTTCGAACTGCCAGTTCCTTCGCGTTGGCCCCAATTCAAGCAGACGATAACAATTACAAATAAACATAACTCCGTCTGCATCTTTCCCCTCATCTGTACCAAAACGCAATCCCCGGCCTAGCAGAATTATTTTTCATGTTTGTTTTGCTTTGTTTGCTGGTTTAATAGCGATCAAGCTAACATAACAAGCAACAAATAACATAAGTTGCTCCCCTCGCGCATCGGTGCTTGGTGGAAAATCAAGAAACTGGGCTCATGTTCATACAACAACCGTTTTTCTGCTTCAAATGAAGGCAGATGTGGTCCCAGTCTGATCTGTGCTAACTTTTTATTCCGCTATATCGCGGTTCACTTTTTTGCAGCTTGACTGCATTGCGGATTTTCCTCACAGTGTTTGTTTTTCCCCCCCCAAGGATTTCGACTGCATTGTTAAAATATTTGGGTGTTAAATCTTGCGGCTATAGTAATACAGTTCTTGACTTGACCGCCAATTTAGTGCAGTTTTGATGATGTCGGATGTTTTTGGCGCCAGGGCAGCCGCCGCCTAATTTGAAACCCTGCAACAGGAAGGAAAGGTCGATGACCAATTATTTCCCAAACATAAAACCCTTGACAGAAAGCATCTGCATATTTCAGGATTTATGCTATTGATTTTTTTTTTTAACACATTTTTTTGGGTTGAGTCTGGATGTGACCTTGAATGCCTCGCCAATCGTTATCAAATGCAGAACTTAAGATGAAAGCGAAAGACAGGGCGGGCCTGCGCACGTCAGTGCGTCCGGTGGATCCCCCACTTAAATCCTCTCGATATTACTTATTGATTTGTTCAGCGGCTCGTCCATAGTCCTCACCCGCGCTCTCGGTGAATATAAATGGTCTTCTCGCTGCAGCGAGTGGTGTTCGCTTAATTGGGCTGAAGTGGTGTGTGTGTGTGTGTGTGTGTGTGTGTGTGTGTGTGTGTGTGTGTGTGTGTGTGTGTGTGTGTGTTGTGTGTGTTGTGTGTGTTGTGTGCGTTGTGTGCGTTGTGTGCGTCATGTTGATTGGGGACCAATCGCATCGTCAAGTGTGCGTGGTGAAATCATCCTTTCCATCCACATTGCAAAAGGTGTAACTCAAGGCAATGTAAAACCAAACTAAAACTAAAGGCAAGTGAAGTCAAGTTTAAAATGAAATTAACCACGGGAAGTGAAGTTCTAAGTACGTTAATCCGATACTGTAGATGTGTGTGGGAGGAAACCGGAGTACCCGGAGAAAAGCCACGCAGGCCCGGGGAGAACATCCAAACTCCACACGGGGAGGCCGGAGCTGGAATGGAACCTTTTGCACTGTGTGGTCAATGCGCTAACCGCTGGACCACCGGGCCGCCCTTTATTTCACTAATAACTCATCAGAAGTGACGACGGAAAGCAGCACCGTAGGGGAGTATTCGGGCCCGTCCGCTTCACAGTTCTGAGATTTTGCTTGTTTTAGTATTTTGGCTTCCTCGCACATTCCAAAAACATGCTCCAAAAGTCAAGAACGGAGGAGGCTGTATGTTCCATTCGCAATTTTGTTCGATGGTCATTATGTTTTTCCTATTTGCCATCACCGGTGCCCTCCGGGTCATCCTTGATGACGGTTGAGTGCGAATTGTTGAGTAAGATTGTCTCCAACCTTCTGGAACAGCTGAACTTGAATTGGTGTTAATCAGCGGCACCTTCATCGCGGCGGGCGTGAGCTGAGGCCTTCTGACCATGATTTTGCATGTTCATTCCAAACACCGATCACATCCCAAGTTGTAAGAGGGCGTGCGCACTTGTGCGAGCACCATTCTCTCATGTTTAGTTTGACTTCCCCTCTTGAAAATATTCCTCCAAAATAAATGTGATTGAATTGTCCTGATTAGAGATCACATGAAAGGGCGTGAAACGTTTTGCCGCGCTTTATCTCGGTTCCGTTTAAAGCTGTCATTTCACCGCAGACTTTTCGTCTCCAGTGTACTTAAGTTGTTCAGGTGCCATCTCACTGCTGAGGTGCCCTTGAACACTCGCGTGTGCAAAAATTGAATTTTCCCCTCAGAAGAGCTGGCGGCTCCTTCTTGTTCGTCTTCTCTGCAAGGTTAGGAGCTGTGTGCTGTTAAAGCAACTGAGCAGATGATTTTTTAATTAAGCTTTTAGGCTCCACTGTCACACAATTATTCACCCCACTGTGTCTTTTTTGCGCCCCCCCCCCTATGAAAGATCATTATTAACTTGTCCCGGCAAAGTAAAAGAAGAAGATAATGAAAGAGTCAAATATGCAGCAGTCTGTCAAGAGTGAAATGAAGGACAAATGGCGCACTAAACGCACACTTTGGAAATCACGATTGCATTTTTTTTTTTTTTTTTGTGTGTACGTATTGACCAAAATAGGTCTATCGACAACGGGAAGTCACGTTTTTAACCGCCACACACATGGAAAAATAAGTTGGTAGTGTATGAAAATAATCCCTCCGAAACATAAAACTTTTTACAGTCAGCATCTGCATATTTCAGGATTTGTGCTTTTTTTTTTTTTTTTTACACCTATAAGTCTCACTTGTATCCATCCTTTCGCCTGCCTTCCTTTATCTCTTCTGTCTTTTCTTCCCTCCCTTCGATTCACCTCCTACCTTCTAAGAACAAAAAGTAAAAAAAAAAAAAAAAAGTAAGCCTCCCTTTCCTCCCACCCTGTATATGTATAGACTCGTTTTAAGAATTCATCGGATGTGCGAGAGTTCCGCTGCAGGTGTGACTGGGTCACCCCTCTCAAGATGAACTTGTGCACCTTATGTTTAAAACATGAAATTCTTTTTAGGCTCCACTGGAGGGGCGCTGTCGAGGGGTCGATGAGGTCACATCCAAATCACGCCCGAGATACAGTACTGTTCTGTTCTGTATATTTTGTGTTAAGGTTATTCACTTACGACTGCCTTAATGTCCAATCAGTTGGAGGGCGACTGATGACTCATGCACTTTTTGGAGACTGAATTGTGTTTTTAGCATTATATCTGCTCAAATATGATTACGCGACTCCTTCCTAACTGATGAGAGAGAGCCGTCTTGTACCGTGTAATAGTCCTGTAGTGCCTCCTTGTGGAGGAGTCACACCATTGCAGTTTCTCACAGAAAATCGAACGTGTATTTATTTATTTTGACAGGATTCTTGGGATGTGCTTCAATGTTTGCGTTTTTAATAACAGTACTTTAGACACAGAAGGGGATCTTTTCACAGTTTTTAATAGTTTATTGTTTGTTTTATTTGTATCTATTTTTATTTTTTTCTGATATACATCATCACTGCGCGCGGAAAAATAAGTACACTTATATATCATTATATTATTAAAGGTTTATTATGATTGATATTTTAAGCAATGTAGGTTAATGGAACATTCTAAATTGTCCCTCGGTGTGAGTGTGAATACTGTCGTTGTTCGTCTATGGCTGTGTGCAAATTCACAGGCTGCTTCCTCCGAAGGCCGCGTTTTCGGCTGCATGATGTCACTTCCGGCGTGACTTGATGGTTGGCTCTTTTATGTACAGTATTATTTATTTATTTGAGCTTTTTAAAATTTTATTTAACCTGTACATGCTTTTTTTTTTAACTTAACAGAAGGCCAGAATTTATTTTTAAAATATATGTAAATGTGAATTTGTATGTGTACAAATACATGTACTGTCTCGAGCATTTTTTCTGATATCAGCCTCGATCATTCATGGGTTTTCCACCTTTGTGAACACTAGATGGTGCTAGTATTCAACCTAACACTTTTTTAACGAAAACGAGATTTTGTGGGGGAGGAAGTTGGGGGTGGGGCTTGGAGCCGTCGGTCCCATCTGATGGTAACGAGATGCATTAATAATATTACATAGTTCCAAGGTGGCTTCCTCAGTGGCCCAGAAGGCAGCAACAGCTGTCGAACTGTTTAAGTCCGATAAGTCTGCACAGTCTGAATTCAATTGGAAGTGCTGAGACAGATGAGGGGCCAACCAAATGAGTGACATTCCATTTAGAAGATGAAAGCGCGCCGTTTCACCGAGGGAAGTCAGCCAGGTTTCTTGTGCCAGCTTCAAGGGCAGCAACGAGAAAGCTGCATGAATTTTACAATGCAAATGTTCAAACCAACTCCTTTCTTTTCATGAGCGCAGGTCCTCAAATTGTGGTCTTGCCTCGAATGCAGGATGTAGGGCTCCGCCAGTTTTCTGAGTTTGGTCACATGACATTTGCACGATGAACCCATGGGCGCTGTGACGTCCATTTCTAGGTAGCTTGGGCTGCAATGCGTTGCTCCTTCTGGTGTGCGGACACCGTCACAGTTGCTCGGTAAACTGCAGTTGAACTAGTCATTCTCCACAGAGGATAACACCGATGCTAATCATGAGCCTTTCTATGGTGTTTTCATTGTTTGCTAGCAGTCAGCTCAACGACCTTATCGCAAGCAAAACTACCGGTACTTGTTTGTGGTCCTGTTTGAGAATTGTCTGCTGGCTGTTGTACAGTGGGTTGAGCTCACTGCCATGACACAACTGCGTTTTTGGCTTTTGCTCAAAGCATAGAAATTACCTGACGGTAACTCAAAAAACTTGTACAAACTTGTACATTGGGTCAGTTGTATCTCAAGGCACAATGTACTT